TTTAATAAAGTCAGAGAAAAGAAGCTATATATACACATTTGTTTAGTCAGTGTGAGATGGTGCCTGAAAACATATTTCAAGCAAAAAAAGGTGAGAAATGGCAACATTGTGAGCTGAGAGTCATCACTGTGCCATTTATTTGTCAGGAGACAGAGATGAGCTGTGTTGGGCTCCAGCCCAGTTCTTTGGGCTGTATCCCAGGATCGGGACAAACAACCTATATAGTCATTTAGCCTGGAGAACTTATTGTAATAAACATTTACTGAGGATAAAAAAAATCCTTGCTGATCTGACAGTGTATTGGTTATTATAAAGCCATGCTCTGCACCCAAACATTGTTATAAAGCCATGCTCTGCACCCAAACATTGTTTAAATCCATAGCACTTTATTTAAATTCTAGGGGAGATCCAAATATAGCAGGCTGAATTTGATGCATTGTGTCTAAAATGATGCACAAGGAATTTAGAGTATTTCTCTTGCAGGAACATGTACAGCCACAAGTACCGTATACAGTATACAGTACTGTCACTGTGGAATAAGAAAACTTTTTAAACTCTTAAAGTTGATTGTGAAATGAAAGGGAACGTAGTGTGTGTCTATGGCTGTGACTCACACAGCGGTGAGCTGTTTGTCATGTCACCTGGTCGCTCAGGGTGTGACTGCAGTTCAACAAAATATGCTGCAGATGGGAGTGTCTCAGTCAGACAACCTTGACTCACACACGGAGGACACACTTCAGCAGTAACTTACATAAGACTCTTGGGGTGATGTACTCTTACAGTTATGCAGCTAAACTGCAAGTCTGGGTTATTCTTGAAACAGTTTATTATTTGTTAAAGCTGCTTTGTTATAGTTGCAATAGCTGTTTTCTATTCCCCCACCAAGTTGTTTTGTAATATTGTGTTTGTAGTGTAGCCTACAGTGTATCATTAAAATGCTTCATGTCCATTTTTTTCCATTTTTTTGTTTTACATCTATTTTAACCTACATATAGGGTACTGGCTGATGATGCTGAGTTTCTGCACTGAACTAGATTCTGCACAGTTCCACATCTGCACCACATAGTTATGTCGACAGGTGAGAAAACAAAAATTAAAGTGCCATTACACCCCATCAGAACTGTTTCTCTGATCATCAGATATCTTCAGATAATACCTGATATCGCCATGCAGTGACTGATCATTTGTTCAGAGGTGAGAAGGAAGCCAAGGACTGAATTTCTTTTTTTTTTTCTTTCATTCTTGACCTAGCAAATTTTGTCCCTTGTTATCGTAGTAACAAAAATGATCAATTCCTTCCGAGAGATATTGTCTGCACGTTTGTGCTATTAGTATCCTCTTTATGACAGTCAGTTTATCATCTGGCTTTTGAGTGTGGTTGTCCAAAGAAGCTTAAAACTGTCTATACAAAATGCCATAGTACCCAAGGCACAGTTGTCGAGCTATCACGGGCCTACCGACTGACTAGTAATGCCGTGCCTGGAGTCATGTTGCTACATCATAATGTCTTACAAGTAATACTTTCAAACTAAAATGGACCCCTCAGTGGTGGGATTTTCTGTCTGCCTGTATTTATCTCAGATAAAAGGAGGTTTTGCAGGACTGATAAAGCATAATCCTAAAACTAACAGGGGTTAATAGTGTGCAAGGACCAAAATTCTATCTTAAAATATGAAGTGTGATAGCAAATCAGTGGAGTCAGAAAGAGGATTTGTTCTGGGTTTATTTCTGTCTGCAGATGAGTTCATTACTTAATGTGGTCAGCTTCACCCCTCTCATCCCCTGCACCACACAGTGGAGGTTCTGAACAGTTCTTTTAGCACAAGATTGTTACATCCCCAGTGTAAGAAGGAGCGTTACCGCAGGTCGTTCCTCCCCACAGCAATCAGACTGTACAATACATCACTGCGGTGATAAGATACAGTAGGTGAAATTATGAGGGACTATTCAGCTCCTGGAGGTAAAATGCATGGTTAATATGCACATATGTAAAATCTGTTCTTTATTTCTCTCGAATACTTTAT